ACGTCGTTGTCAATTCTGTTAATTTGTGCGATAACATTTCCTGTTGAACCACCGCAGTGTATTATTCGAACCTCGGAGGCAACTGCACCGGGTAGGAGCAGTGGAACCCCGGACACACAGAACTGAATAGGAAGTTATAAAGTCTTAAATGCATCGATAATGCTGGCATATATCAAGGAAATGTCAAAGGTATCTTCTATATTTTGGTGCATTCATTCAAACTTTAAAACAATGCTGCGATTAAAAAGTGGAACAGATTTGGAAGCATACCCTAAATTACGCGCGTTTGTGAAAGCTTCAACCAAAGGATGGGTACAAAAGCCAAAGAAATGTTCTGCATTTACAGAAAGCGACCTAAGAGGATTTTTTATTTCATCCAGATGACAGTTTCAAAAGTCATACTTGAAGTTTCGTTACTTAGCAACTTTAAAGCACGTGTGTTTTAAAGGCCCTTTTTCGCACGCATTTGAGTGTTTAAAACGGAGATTGTGATTCAGGTATAATAAATAGTTATTTATATAACAAGAGCGCGAAGTTCAATTTCGCGCATTGAGACTGAAGGTATTTTGACGAGGCGAAGCCGAGTCAAGATATCAGTCAAATGCGCGAAATAACTTCGCGCTAGCGTTATATACAATATTTTTTCTACAACTGAACCGATTGTTAATTAAATTGCTGTTTAAGCTCAACTTTGTCCCGTGCGCGAAATACTTTTTTTCACTGTTGACGATTTCGCGCACGTTGTCAAGAGCAACCTTACTTATTAATTAACCGTTTAAAAATCTAGTACTTCGCGTTTCGAAATCCGTCAGAAAATGACAGGTTTTTTTGACAGTTGTAGAAAAAATCCATTTCGAACTGCTACTGTAATATAACTGGATATCTTTTTGTTTTAGAAAATTCCATGGCATCGCAGATTATTGAAAAAGATGCGGGTTTTATTTTCCCAATTTTCCGTCTTTATATGAAAAAAATTGAAAACTAATACGGCGGTTTGGCGTAAAAAAATTTTTTCTACAAAAAACTAATACATTTTTGCTCTAAAATAATTTGGGGAGCCAATAATCGCATGTTATGAATTATACATTAAAATCCCTATGATGCGTTACGCAAGTCACCACCCTGTATACATAACTACTACAATAGTAAAATGAAAGCAAAATTATTTTTTTCACAGTGTATGTATGTTATTAAATATTACGAATGTTTGTTCTGTTATTTATTCGATTTGAAGGATTGTTCTTATATTGTACAGTACATTGTTAACGTTTCATCATGTTTTTTATATACCAAATCAATCGGAAGTTTATTTGTATTTCTTAGCAAATATATGTGTGTAGGTATTATAACGACTTTATTTCGTCAAAATTATATTTCTTCCCCACGAAAGAAGTAATTATGTATCAACGAAGTAGAGGTAGGTGGGTATAGGACGTGTTTTATTTGTGCCAATGAGACAATAACATCCCCTGTTGGATTAAAACAAAGAGAAACAGTATGCCAGTTATATTTTCAATAATTTAATTGGAAACACTGTTGGTATTCGCGGAACGCAGGACCGTTTAGTATTAATACGCGCAAATAATTTAAAATCTGAGCTCGTCTGCTGGTCGAATGCGACCGTCTGCCAATAAATGGTTCTTACAGATTAAATAAGTGCATCAAGAACTACATTTCAGCAAAAAAATGACACTGGTAACTAATGGGGAGTTGATGGGTGTTTTTTTGACATGTTCACGGCCGTCTGCTTCAAAGAGGTGACCACAAGACGCGGCAGACGCGTTGAATATATATTCAGCTTATATTTTCACTCATTTTCGCACGCATTTTAAATTGACAATTCAACTCGTGTATAAAAAATCGCATAAGCCGCAGTGAAATTGTCACTTTGACAGCGGCAAAAGTTACCTGCAACTTTTCCAGCGACAAATGCACTAGTGGTTTTTTCACTTATTCATTTTCGAACCAATAATCGCATTATCCTTACCCATATGATTAGTTTGACGTCTGTCAATAATTGATTAGTTTGGTGAATTTCTTGTTCGTTAAATTGTCCTGCCGAATTACACTCGAGGTTTGTATTTAAACCGAGTAAATTTGGGTTGTTGCAATTCAAATTTGTTTCCTTTTAGCAATTGAACTCGAAAAACTGTCAACCTAAAAATGCTCCACCTGCGGTGTCGCATTTTTATTAGTTGGCAGTTTTTCTCGTCTAATTGCTAGGCAACAGATTTTCATTACCTAAACAACCCAAATTTACTCGGTAAAATACAAACCTCTTGTGCAATTATAAGTGATAAAAATGAGGCAAAAATTAGTGAAAATTAAAAAAATTAAATTAAAATCACTACGTAACATGACCACATCCGAGAGGCAGACGGGCGGTTTTACATAGTCTGTGAATAGTTCAACCACCCTAAAGAGGCAAACCTTTGGTAACCGATGAGGTGGTATTTTTTACTGCCAGCTCTCGGTCTATAGTTCGAGTAGATCATGGTGTCGACCCAATCAATACGAAACATAATGGCCTCTTTGTTAACACACACAGTTCGGGGGTGAGCTCGACCTGGAGGTTGTTCCCAGGTAGGGCAATGAGCGACATAGACCGACGTTACTGATCTATTGGCCGAGGGTCCTAGTCAGAGGCCCAAGACGGGATGTGTATCCTAAATAATACAAGTGCGCGCGGCGTAACCCTTTCCCAAATAGGTATGAGCTCCATCTAACCCTTCTCCAACGACTCATTCAACCCCAATCGCCAACCAGAGTGTTCGGGGATTCAGGAGAGTCTAGCGCCAGCTGGGGGCCCACGCCCCCCCGATGAGTTACCTCATTAATTGACCATGACCCTTGAGCGCGGGAGACGACAAGTCAGACTGAATGCTAGCATGCCAACTCCTTATGCGTAGATTACAGAGGAACGTTTCTAATGAAAGGTGAGTTTACAGTAGATTTGTCGCATCTTAATAATGAGTTCTGATCAACAATTAGCTCCATTTAATTAGTGATTTCCCTTGTTGTTATATAAAAATACACCCCATTACAATAATATTAATTATAGCGACTACCGTTCTGGATCGAATATCTGGTTGAACATCTTTTCTGAGAATTGTATCTGAAGTACTTGACCAGGTTTAAAATGCGTTTCCTTCCATCTACGTAGCTCACTGGTGGAGCGTTGGGCTACATAGCCGAAGGTCGGATGTTCGAACCTGCGCTGAAGTAAAAATTTTGTGACAGAGACGGGAATTTCTTTACATCAGTTTGGAGAATTTTTCCGCCCACTCCGCGTAAGATAAATACTGGAGTAGTATAGTAGACCTTTTGCCTGGATACTCTGCACTGAATAGTCAGATGGCATAGTCCTCTGCTACTGTGCCCACTCTTTTACAAATTGTACATGAACACCTTTTCAGCGGCGGAATACATGTTGCTGTTTCGTTATCTGTACGAAGTACTCTGAACTATCACCAACTGGAGGAGTTAGGGCTCTCTCAAAACGAGCGTTTTTAATGGTCCACAGCCGGCTCTTCCACTTACAGCTGCAGCTATAAGCAACTCAAAACACCCAAAATCAGTACAGGGTGAGAGAAGCCTTCAAGGGACCATTTCGTAACCTGGTGCGTTTTTGCAAATTACACAAACATCTTGTAGAGGACAATCAGACGGCACACTACATACTTTCTGTCGCGCTCTAGTCCAACTGACACGATCCATGTTATAGGGCCCCTTCACGTGCATTCCCGGAACGACGCTCCGTAAGTTTTGGAGTGATGTCAATCCAAAACTGTGCGTGTAGTTCATCCTCGCGCCATGAATGATACGCGCCTGGCGTGGAGCGATGGAATCAAACATGTTTGAATTCCTGGCGTGGAGCGAGACCCTCCGCGCGCCGCGCGCCAAATGCGAGCGTGTAGTTTCGTTTCGCGCCTTCCCTTCGCGCCGTTAGAAGAGGATGCGCTGTTAAACATTGGAGAGGAAAAAGGAGAGACTACATTAGCAAAAGTCCTGTAGGTTTGTTTGTGTGCTGTGCGGTGTGACATTAATTGTGGTAATCCTCTGGATTGGTATTATTAATTTCTTGTAATAAAATCAAATCGCCAAATTTCTGTCTCTTCAAATACCATGGCTTGGACCTGTTCCTCCGCTTCTTGGGCTCTTCATTTACGTTATCCATCATATATTTGTGAAGAATTACAGCTGCAATTTATCTTTTTTTTTACCAAACTCATCTTGTTATCGACAGTACCACTCTGGAATGAATGAAATGGCGCGAACGTGTAGTTTATTCACTGCACAACGCGCCAGAAGTTGGCGCTCCACGCTTCGTTCCAAAACCGATGGCGCGTCGTTCCGGGAATGCACGTGAAGGGGCCCCATTAGGCGTATCCTGGCCGGACATTGTTACGATTAGAGCCTTCCTCTCGCTTCTTAGGTTCATCTCACGTGTCGGATGGCTTTAGTGACGTTGGGGGGTCGAATGACTCTAGTCGGGGAGGTGGTACAAAGGGTCCGAATTTGAGGCGTGCAGCCTCCCTCTATCGTAATCCAGAATCCAAAGGTGGAAAGTCTCGTAGGTTTGCCGCATCTTACCCAGGTGGTTTACTTGCTAAAACATGAACGATATTTTGACACTTGATTTGTGCGAATCATATAAATGACTGGTCTAACTTATTTTCCGTTTTTAAATTAATACAACCAGTTTCGAAATTTTCTCCTTCACCGAATTATCCATTGTTCAATCAAGAATGTCCCACGGTAGCAAGTTTTCCTGAAGTAAAGCTTGTTGCCTTTAATTAATTTATCTAATAAAAGCGAGGCTTATTATTGTATAATTTGTTTATCATTGTTTCCAGTGATTTTTTGTAGATAGGGAAAACTTTCCTATCACGTTTGGCAGTGTGATGATGTCACTATTATCATGATTAAGATGATTCAGCAAATTTTATAATTGCCCAACTTCAGTTACTGTGACGGGCAACAGTCAAGATCAATTATTCTATAAATAGCACCTGTTTGTGTTTATTGTAGATCGCCTTAGTTCCCTATTCTCCATTCAATAGTAGTTTGATTCTGAAAGGTGCGGGTCGTTCGTCTGGCGCTTTCCGAGGATCACCAACTAAAATGCCGATAGATTTTTACTATGCCCCGGGAAGCGGACCGTGTCGCTTTATCGAGTTGACCGCGAAAACGTTGGGTGTCAATTTGAATTACAAAGAGCTCGACCTGATGGTAAAAAAAGAACACTTAACTCCCGAATTTATTAAGGTATGTAGGTCAAAGTTCACTTTACTCGTCAATAGTTAATTCATCGCCGGCATTTAAAAAAAACGTTCACAACTTTAGTTGAAATTCCAAAATTATTTTCAGATCAATCCCCAACACTGCATTCCAACAATTGTTGATAACGGATTTGCCCTCTGGGAAAGTCCAGTAATTGCCACCTATCTTGTAGAAGCTTACGGAAAGACCGACTCTTTGTATCCAAAGGACCCCAAAAAGAAAGCAGCAGTCGATCAACGTCTGTATTTCAACAACGGCGTCCTCTACCAACGCCTCGCCGATTATTACGTAAGTACCTTCTCTCCTACAGCCAGTTTTCCTAACGGCAACCTTTCAGTATCCCATAATCTGGGGTAACGCAACACCCGATCCTCAAAAGTACAAGAAAGTCGAAGAGGCTCTGCAATTTTTGGACACATTTTTGGGCGCCGACGAGTACGTCGCCGGTGATTCCTTAACGCTCGCCGACTTCGCCATAGCCACGACCTTGTCAACTTTTGACGTCGCCAAACTCGATCGTTCCGCTTACAAGAACGTCTCGAGATGGTACAAGATGCTTCAGACGTCCGTACCGGCGTTCGAAGAAATAAACGGCCTCGAGAAGCTCACGAAAATGTTCGACGCCATCGCTAAGAAAGCTAAATCATAAGTCGAATCTGTGTGAAGGGTTTTGAAGCGTTTGTTTGTAAATAAATTTGTTCACTCATGGCTACAGCACAAAATTGTGCTGTTGTTAGGCGGTATCAAGCTTTTACCAAACTTGTTCCATATTATGGTGTCGAGAATAAAGAGCTTACTTACAGTATAAGAAAAGTAATTACGTGCTAGTGTAGTTACGAAACAGTTACCAAGCTTTTTCCTTTTGTCCAGCACACAAATCCTATAGTGTAAGGTTATCTTTTCACCCAACAGTGTAGTTAAATTAGTCACGAAACAAATAGTACCGGTTAATTACAATTACTCCGAGAAATGTGACCGAATGCAAGATACACATGCCCTTTGTTTTCAATAAAGTTGCGCCCATGATGATGATAACAATTGGCACACGGGCATTTTTCACGCGAAACATAAACATAGGAAACGTTGGGCGAAGTTTTTGGTTCCATTCCAACATGCTTACAAGCCTGGTATGTCCACAGAGACCGTTCTTAACAGCCTCGTGTGCAGGTTGGAGAGAGGAATATCTGCTCAATCGGGAAGACTGAGATGAGCTCATGGATTATGGTCCTCTGCAGTCTGAACGAGCGTATACACAGGAATACGCGGACGATCTCGGCATGGTCATAATAACGCATAGGATTTTCCTAATTTTGAAGCAAGTAGATCTATAGTGGATGTGAGGAGAACATAATGTAAAAGAAAATCCAAAACAGTTTTCGGTTAATAATTATTATAATCTTCTAGTTCTATTGTATTGTTTTTAACCATGACAATTACTGCCTACTATTATTGCACATCTTGTGCCGCATTATTATTTTAAAAAAATCAGTCATAGTACCAGGCGTGTATTCCGGCACATAGACTATTCTCTAACGCGTAACAATGTTGTTACATAGCGAATATCGTTCGGCAACGACTTTCTCTATTCCGTATGACATATAACATATGACAGTGATACGGCATATATCTGTCGTTCAAGATCAAATCGTTACCATTACGATATCGTTTGTTAATGACAATATACAGAATAGAAGTAGGTATGTTAAAAAATAGTACAAGTTGTTACTAAACGCCCAGAATGTTTTAAATTAAAAACCCGACGTAAACAATTGAAGTTGAGGGTAATAAATCTACCACTGTTAGTATACATGCAGTAGAAGAATATTTGTCAGATTCATACATCTAACTACCTTCCATTTTGCGTTGTTTTGCTTTCATCGTGCTGCTAATGATTATACAGTGTCCCAGATGCGTATTGCCAATGTATTGTACATACAACAAAGAGCGGTCCATTTTCTGCAGTGCTCTATGCTTTGGCGATGGTATACGCAATAGGTTGTCTGGCAATCCATCGTTCGCTACAGATCGTTTCGATATCATTACGGATAAACCACTTACAAAATGTGACCCGGGACAATGCATTAATTGTAGTGTATTTTATTATACTTTAATAAAACGCCATCAAACATGTTTCAACTATCACGTCCGTACTCAACCTGCTTTTCTATTATCCGTGCAAGCCAGGTATTCGTACAGCGCAAGACACATTTATTTATTACATCTTCCCCTAAAAATATAAAACTAAAATCTTTCTCACTAACTAAATGCAATTCTACTAGAGTACTTAAACTTAAGTACACTTCCACCTTCACCTGAAAATACTGCCTTATTCTATACCTTTAAACGCTCCACAGGTTTTACAGTTCTTCCATATTTTGTTACATAATCGTGAGATTTATTTGACACATCTAAGCTTAAATCTAATTCATTTTCATTTGACGGTACAACAATTCGATTATGATAAGGATACATTATATTTACATCTTCCATATTCCGCCGTTTAATGCGGTTGTTATCACTATGCCTTTGCCTATGACAGACCCTGAACGCCACTCGTTGCCGTATCTATAAGTAACCGGTTGGTTTGGTTTTACCTTATAATTCAACGATCAATCGAACTTACCTGTGAAGTTTGATCGTAATTATATGAGGTGTCCAGTCCGAAGATATAATTATTATTTACTATGTAGATGTTTAGAGCTCTAAGGTAAATACACTAATGCGGGTGGTCAAGCTGAATGTCCATAAAACCACCGTGTTATCAATCCAAAACCCGCAAAAGCAAAACAATGTAATTTCCAAGAAAAATACAACTGAAATTCTATTCCACATAATGGGAAATAAACAAAAATATCAAATACCAAAAAGCAATCACTTTTGATTCATTAAAACTGTCCTCGCGAAAGCGTCTGGCTGATCAATCTGCCTATTGTAGAACCTGGCGAACGCCGAAGACTTCTCCGTCCATCCTGCCGTTCTTCTGATGGTCTCTAAGGAAAGGCCCCGGCGAAAAGCCGCTGAGGTTGACGCATGTCTGGAGGTTTGTCAATGAAAGAATTAAACCCTTTCAGATTTAAAATTAACCGTTTCTTTCCGTTCGGTTTGGCAACCAAGAACACCCTTGAAATAAATTCATCCTGTGAATTGTAACATTTCTGTACGGCCCCCAGTCTTATTAACTCATTAACAGCCTCCCGAAGATCGCTATCCTCTCTAAGAGAGACCTGCGGAAGGTGTCTTTCGGGAAGATGCGGCTGTACCGGCTTCCTTAATAAAGGTAACTTAAGACCCTTGACCCAACTCAAAATCACTGGGTTGGAGGTTAATTGTGACCAGGGTAAATAATGAAAAGCAATCCGACCGGCAAAAGGAGGACTCACCTCGACTACGTCGATTTCCTCACATAACGGTCGCGCCTGACCGGGAAATGTCTCTTGGGGAGCCCCTTGTAAGCATCCGTCTCCCCCGAGCGACGGACAGGGCGTTGTCTGTTTTCCGCTGGCTGATGCGTTTCGTTCGTGGGTCTTCTAATCCATTTACCACCCCTTTGTTTGGGGACAGACCGTTGTATCGGTCTAACCTTTAATTCGCTAGCCGTGTTCTTAATGACTTTTGCCGCTTTTATCTTATCTGGCAAATCCTCCCCAAAGAGGAAGGTGTCAAAATCTGAATGCTCAACTAACTCCTTAATGGGTTTATTAAGTATCGGATTAATTAAGAATCTACGACGAAGCGATTCTCTATAAAAAAGATCCGCAAGAATACGACCCGCATCCGAAAACGCTGACAACAGCTTGCTTTTCAATTCAAGCGAAACAGAATCCGGCTCATTTAAAAGTGACGTCAGTCCTTTTCCTAAGGCCGATAACCCTCTGCTTAAATGCGTTTGATGCTCCAAGCGAGACTTGTCTCTATTTATGTAACCCTAACCTTGCGACATGACTGCCAAAATTTCGGGGTTAACCGAAGGAGGAGTAAGACCTTCACAATTTGTCTTAAACAAATAATTATCCAAGAGCTTGGATTTCTCCTGTTCTGAAAGGCCGTGCCTTAGAATATGATTCCATCGTGATGAAAGAGCGGGGTGGAAGTTAAACGTGTTTAGTTCGCCTCGCTCCGGATCATCTCCTAAACAAATTAGGACCTCGTCCGATAATTTAACGTCTTCACTTATGACTAGCACGTCACCATTGTCCCCCGCCCCTCCTCGCACATTCGGCGAAATTTCCGGCGACAATGGAGCCGTTGACGGCAAGGGCGTAGGGGAGCCGAAACTGTCGCGACCTTCGTCGCAAATAGCGTCTACCGGGCCCCATGGACGCCGGCTTTCGCTTACACAAAGAGTACCCGTATCCCGCAGATCACGGCGTACACCACGTTCCGGGACAGCTAAATCTGAACCCGAGCTACACGAGCCTCGGCGGACAGATAGTTGTCGATGACGACCATCGGCAGAACTGCCCGCTTCGCTTGAACGTGGACCTGGAGAGCGCGATCGACCACGGCGATCTCGCTTCCTCCTTTCTAACGTTCATTCCAATCTCTTAAGGCGCTTTAGAAGTTGCCTTTTGGAAAGGTCGTCCTCCGAATCGCTGGAGCGATCCCTTTTTTGTTTATGTTTCCCCATACTACAAAAAATTGAATTAGATATCAATACTTACGTCGCTTACAGGAAGTAAGCGAACCCAACCTTGTTTGCTTAGCACAAGAAAACGAATAATGATAGGAGAGGTATGCGCACAGCAGGAACTGGGGAGAGTGGGAATTTCTTCTTTAAACCTTGTGACATTGGCATCTAGAGAGCGTACTACATAGTAAATAATAATTATATCTTCGGACTGGACACCGAAATATAATTTCGAATTTTAGAATTTCTATCATAATACGATTTTATTTCGCATTTCTTTTTCATAAGAAATTTAGAAAAATCTGCAACTAACTTTGGTTTCAACGAGTGATTTGAGATAGGCAAAAGTGTTCGGGTTTTCCGGCTAAACAATAATTGTGCGGGAGAATAGGCTGACCCCATCACAGGCGTATTCCTGTATTCCAGTAAAATTTCTTGTAGATCTACATTTGCGTCTACTGATTTTTTAATAAATTTTTTACAAATACCAACATATCTTTCACTTAACCCGTTTGATTTTGGGTTTGGGATTTGGGTTCTTGCATTGTATTCGGAACTATAATTGCTTTATCTATAACTATCTATTGCGCTTGTTATAACAAATTTTGACATTTTGTGCTAATTTCGTGATTGATTTTGGCCACGCATTTTCGCAAAATTTAATTACACTTTGTAAAGCACTATCTTTACCAGTCTCCACCTGTAACTTTGTTTTCAAATCATCACTTACATTTACTACATGCACAACATCATTTAATATTAATATTAATTATCATTTAAGCTCGGCTTATCGCATCTGCTATATACATTTTACTTCCAGGACTTTACGTCGAGATCATAAACTGATAGTTTCATACTTATTCGTTGTAATCTATTGGAATTAATTTTGTTAATTTTTTTTGCATAAGGGCAACTAACGGTTTATGATCGGTCTGGACTACTACTTTGCTACCGTAATGTAGTGATGAAATCGCTTGCATGCAATTAAAATCGCCAAAAACTCTTTATCAATTTGCGCATACCGCAGGTTTTTTGTCTTGCATCAGTACGCACTCAATTCCATCCTTACTGCGATCGGTTTGT